TGGGGGAGAGAAAGAAAGACTTTTGCTGCTTTCCTGACATGCAGCCAAAAGCAGAAGAAGAAAGGAGCGGAAAGAAGCAGCCCGGCGGCCAGGCCAGGTGTGTGGGGCACATAAGGCAAGTTCCCCCTTCCCCTCTTTCCCCCCTCCCCTCACTTCCTTGTGTTGTTCGCAATGCAAGCGATGCAAGCTTTGTGTTCCTGTGGGCCATGTGGGGTTGTCACAGAGAAGAGGGAAGGGCAGGACAAGAAGCAACAGATGGAAACTAATCAAGGAGAGAAGCAACCTAGAATTAAGCAGAAATTTCCTGACTGTGAGAACAATTAACCAGTGGAACCACTTGCCTCCAGAAGTTGTGAATGCTCCAACACTGGAAGTTTTTAAGAAGAGATTGGACAACCATTTGTCTGGAATGGTGCAGGGTCTCCTGCTGGAGCAGAAGGTTGGTCTAGAAGCCCTCCAAGTTCCCTTCTAATTCTGTTATTGCATATTCTGAAATTAATTTCCCAGCTGTCGGCACATTTGCATGATTGCAGGGTTTGTGGTACCTGCTTAACAACTGTTAAGACTCTGTGCAATGCTATGCAGATGTACAGTAACATGGATTAATGATCAAAGGGGTACCGTAGAATCCTTTTGGATGCTGCTAAGGCCTATAGCATTGCTTGGGAATATGTTCTTCTTTGTATTATGTCAGTGGTAGCCAAAACATTTTCTCTATACTCAAAGATTTAGGGGATGGGAGTGAAAAATCAGACAATGTCAAACTTATAGGTTCATTTCCCTGTTAGGGTGTCATACGGGTTTTAAAAAGTGTTGTTTTTAATTATTTCTACTTCATATAATATTCTTAATAATTTTCTATGGTTGGATAAGGCTACGCCTTAGTCCTAAGAGAGAGCAAGATGCCACTTGATTACCTAACTCTATTACTTATGGTAGAGAAAGTAAAATATCTGCAGAGTCAAAATCAACATCAGTTACTTGGATAATTTTAAGCAAATCATAAGCTCTATTAAGTCATTGAGTATTTAAGAACTCTTTCCAGATCGATCGATATATATGTAAATTGCCCAGGAGGACTTTAGCTATAAATGTGCCCCAAAGATAACGGCACTTTTAAACAACACTGTTATTCAATTCAATCAGAACAGAGATGGAAGGGACCTTGGAGGTCTTCTAGTCCAACCCCCTGCTCAAGCAGGAGACCCTATACCCGTGATGGTGAACCTATGGCACACCTGCTGTCACGACTCCAATAAAGAATGGATTGGAGCGGAGACAGCCAGGATGTGATACGACCATATTCTTTCACTTGCCTAGTGTTACCATGTGGACGCTATAATGAACATTCGTCAAATAACTAACATCGGCTTCCTGACAAGGAGTGGTGTAATAATAATGATTCATGGCTGGATGTCAAGGGGGTGATGTTGTAATAATGATAAGAAATAAATGAGGGTACATGGGCGCATCGAGCAGGGGAAAGGTGCAGTTGCCACATTTCTTTAATTTAAGGATGCCGGATATTAGGCAGAGAAGCCAGACAGAAGGTGGTTATAGTAATTATATTGTTATCCAAAGTATAACATGTATAAATACAGCTCTGGGTTTCGTTGCAACCCAGAGCTGACTTTAAACATAATTTGATCGCTGTTGCCTGTTGTTGTGGTGTGGAAGATGGATAAAAAACTTCACTAAAGCTACAGGAGTGAGTTGATATCTTATTGTTCACCCCCTCAATCTCGGACGAACAGCTGACACGTGCCAGAAGTGGCACGCACAGCCATTTCTCTGGGCACGCCGGCCATTGCCTGTTGCTCTTCTGGCACACGCATGCGTGCCAGCCAGCTGGTCTTCGCTCATGTGGGAGAACTAGAAACTGGAAGAACATGTGTGCTAGCTACCTGGTCTTCCGGTTTCTAACGGACATGCATGTGTGAAGACCAGCTGGCTGGCCATGCATGCACATTAGAAGCCGGTCGGCCAGCGCGTACGCTTCCATTTCGGCACTCCGTGCTGAAAAGGTCAGCCAACCCTGCTCTAGGTTAAATTTCAGACAACTTTAAGTGAATTCAATTTGAATTCCCTTAAAATTGTTCAAGGGGACATTTTATTTATTTTATTTATTTATTTATTTTTATTTATTTGATTTGCCAATTGTTTACAAGATAATAAGTATAAGTGTATACATAGTTGTGAATACATGAAATGGGTACATATAAGAAAAATAAAAGAATAAGAGAAACAATAGGACAGGGACGGTAGGCACGTTGGTGCGCTTATGCACGCCCCCTACAGACCTCTTAGGAAAGGGGTGAGGTCAATAGTAGACAGTCTAAGGTTAAAGGTTAAATTTTAATTTTAAAGTCTTAAATTTTAAAGTCTAAGGTTAAATTTTAAGTGAATTCAAATGGAATTCTTTGTCAGGGTTTTCAGGGGTCAGAATCACGACTTTTAAAGAAATTCATACAAACAGCGGCACTTTGAGAAGGAAAAAAAAATCCCTTTTCTTGAGAGCCTTTGGAAAATTTAAGTTCCCTCTTTTTAGCGGCTGATTCTTTAACATTTCGTTCTGCGGGTATTTTTCTCATTGCCATTGAATCAGCCCTCCAAAGTCTGCCCAGACTAATTTTATGCTAATTAGGATAATGATTGCAACAAGAGGGCTCCCTAATCCGTTAAAACTTGATCCATATTAACTGAGCTTAGAGGCAGCTGGTTATTATTTGTCCGTTCGATGCAAAGAACCCTTTTCCGTTTTGGTTCTTTACTTACTTCCCTCTAGATAATTCAGATGCTTTTGGGGTGAAAAAGCCTCATTCTTATAGGGCAGAGGAGAAGTAAACAGATGACGCTACTCTTATTTTTCTCTTTGTCCCATTCCTTGGTAATTGAATTTTTTTAAAAAAAACATTCAAGCTTCTTTTTCCAAGTTAAGGAGCACATTTCAATGACAAAGGATGCAAAAGCATTAGATTGAAAACACTGATGGGGAATTCAGAAGAGAGATTGGAACTAATAGCAGGATTTTTCAATGATTATTATTATTAGGAAAGTGGATTATAGCCACACCATCTGGAAACCAGCCAACTATATTAAAATGTAAATTTAGCTTAGCAAAAAATAAAAATGAACGGACGTGCTGTGGGATCATCCCTCCCTATATTTATTTACAAATTGTCAATCCTACTTTGGCATCATTAAAAGTCATCCCAAAGTGGGATGACGAAGAAGCAACAAATTGAAGTTGGCTCAACTACAGAGCAAAGCAAAGCAAAGCATCAATCTTACAGATTAATTTTACAGATTAGCAGAGTTGGAAGGGACCTTGTAGGTCATCTAGTCCAACCCCCTGCCCAAGTTGGAGGCCCTGCATCATTTCTGACAAATGGCAGTCCGTCCCTTCTGGAAAGCCTCCAGTGATGAAGCTCCCATAACTTCGGAAAAGCATTGGTTGATTGTTCTCACAGTCAGAAAATCAATTGAAGAATCTTGATATTAAAGGTCATTTTAGACATGATTTTGGTGAACCTTTGCAATACCCACCCCCAGGGCCACGTGATCAAAATTCAGATGCTTGGCAACTGGCATGTACTTATGACGGTTACAGGGTCCTGGGGTCATGTTTTACAACCTTCTGACAAAGCCAAGTCAATCGGGAAGCCAGATTTCACTTAATGACCAGGTTACTAGCTTATCAACTGCAGCGATTCACTTAGCCACAATGGCCAGAATGGTGGTAACATTGTAGGTCGAGGACTACCTGTATAACGGTACAGAAGACAGGTCAACAATCTGCAAGTAGGTTTAATTTTTTGGGGGGAGGACCTGTTTTGCAAGGGACAGGAACTAATGTTGTAGTAATATATTCATTGTCAACTCATAAAATATTTCTATGGTCTTTTTAGAGTTGCCAACAGAAAGGGAGGGGGGAGCAGTGTAGCAGCTTGCAAAACTGAAACTGCATTTCATAAATGTTTTCAAAGATGCTAACTAGGCGACTGAAGTTTCTGCACCACAAAATTCTAACTGGAGAGCATGATTGATAACTCTTGGCTATGGAGGTGTCCCATTGGAGAATATGAATTATGATACATCCAGGGGTAGGGGGAAAACCAGAGTCAAGGGTGACCATGAGTTATGTGTCTTAGAGTCGGCTACACCCAGGCAATGCTGGCATGTTAACTCCCAATAAATCCTTTTTAAGTTTTGGAAGTTTGGCTCGAGACTCATGATTTGAATGAGGGTAACTGCCGGAATCCTGACATTCATCAATATTTAACTTGAGGCGATAATATGTGTATATGTGGATGTTTGGATTTTTTGATGCACCTTTTTAAATGTTTTGAATGTTTTTTAAGTTTGTTTATTTAAATTTTGGGGAGAATTTTTTCTTGAGTTTTGTATTTCAACCTTCCCCTGAAACAAAATAAATATATATAGAAAAGAGGAAGAAGAACAAGCAGGTGTTTAATATACAAATATGGGAAAGAGTGGAGGGCAAATTATAAGTAGCTCCAGAAACTGCAACTAGAATCATATTTGCACAAAACTGGAAAAGTGAAGAGATTCTGACTGACAAGAATGTGATCAGGAAAATATTAGAACGTGCAGAAATGAATAGGCTAACACTGGCAATTAAAGAGAAGGAACAAACTGAATAATATATGCTATGGGAATGATTTTATAAATGGCTGGAGAATAAATATGGAGGTTAGAAATAAAAGAAGATTAGTGAAAAATAGCAAACATGTGAATAGAATTAAATATGTGAAGATGGGGATTCTTACAGTAATTAGATATGTATATCAGTATTAAGTCAGAATAGAGTATCGATACTAAAGTAATGAATGTTTATAAATTGTAATTGTTATTGCGCAAAATATTTGTACCCAGACAACACATGTTTTTGAGCAACTGAGCAACAAGAAGTTCACTCTTGGATTAGCAATCACCATTTCATAAAATGCACCAAAATTCTGAATGAACTCAGCATTCAGAAGCTGGACTTTGCATTTCAGAAGCTTGTCATTCTTCTCTCGTTCTTGACATATAAATCTACAGACAGTATATTTCCATGATCATAAAAGCATCCTACAGCGTATGTCCCGTGTGTATCCCGTTGTCTCCTGAAAAATAAATGCAAATATATAATAAATGGATGGGATTTTGCTTCTTCCTGTGCTCCCCTACCAGAGAGATATTGCTCTCATAAACTTCAAGTTTCTCAATTTATAGCAAGCCATCTTTCCTTTGATATTTTTACTATTGCCACTAAAAATGGCTACACAGCTTTCCAACACTGGAGCTAGGATGTAAATCATCTGATTTTTCCCTCCACATTTTGCTTCTGCTGAAAACTTCTAGAGTTTCACAGGCACCCGGTTGAAGATTTATCCTTGGAAATTTGAAAAGAGGCACGATAAAATTCCAAGGGATTTAACTACATTCTTATGGTGTTTTTTTTTATTGGATATTTGACACCTGTAAGCCAAGGTTTCTTCTCAGTCTGTAAATTTATAGTTCCTAATATAAATCCAATCTTTCCTCAATGTATTGTAGACAGCTGGGAGTGGGTCTAGTGGTTAATGCACCCGAGTAAAAGACAGGAAACTGTGAGTTCTAGTCCCGCCTTAGGCATGAAAGTCAGCTGTTGACTTTTGGCCAATCACCAGGAGACTGTGAGTTCTAGTCCCACCTTAGGCATGAAAGTCAGCTGTTGACTTTTGGCCAATCACCAAGAGACTGTGATTTTCAGTCCTGCCTTAGGCATGAGAGCTGGTTGAGTGATCACAAGAAATGTGATTGGCATGAAAGTTGGCTGGGTGTCTTTAGGCCAGTCCCTCTTTCTCAGTTCAGCCCACTCTCAGGGTGGTTGTTGTGGGGAAAATGAGAGGAGGAAGGCTTACTGGAAATGTTTGCCACCTTGAGTTATTCGTGAAAATAATAAAGGCAGGATACAAAGAAATAAATAAAAATGGTCCTTTCCATACAACTTTTTATTTAAATGTAACCAAGCTAGAAATAATGCTCCTTGTATTATTGAGGCCACTTGGAGTTTTGTCTGTCTGAAGTGGCCTCAAGATTCTCTAAAACGGATGCAAATGACCAGCTGTCTGCAAGGATCCTTCCATTTCTCCACCATCCAGTCAGAGCAGAAGAAGCTTCTGCAACCCAACAGGACAGACACAGACTTCAAAGGATAATTAGGACTGCAGAAAAAACAATTACTAACAACCTGCCTTCCATTGAGGACCTTATACTGCACGAGTCAAAAAGAAAGCTGTGAAAATATTTACAGACCCCTCACATCCCGGACATAAACTGTTTCAACTCCTACCCTCAAAACGACATTATATAGAGCACTGCACACCAGAACAACTAGACACAAGGACAGCTTTTTCCCGAACGCCATCACTCTGCTAAACAACTAATTCCCTCAACACTGTCCAACTATTTACAAAGTCTGCACTACTATTACTGTTAATCTTTTCATCACTCCTTATCACCCATCCCCTCCCACTTGTGACTGTATGACTGTAACTTTGTCACTTGTATCTTTACGATTTATATTGACTGTTTCCTAGTATGATTTGATTGCTTATTGTACCCTATGACTATTATTAAGTGTTGTACCTGATGATTCTTGACTCTTGACAAATGTGTCTTTTCTTTTATGTACACCGAGTGCATTTGCACCGAAGACAAATTCCTTGTGTGTCCAACCACACTTGGCCAATAAAGAATTCTATTCTATTCTATTCTATTCTATTCTATTCTATTCTATTCTAT